CCAATAGAATTAGTAAATAGCTTCTACAAATTGATGGGTGATCTTGAGTTAGAGCTATATCCTGGTTGCAAGAAATTCTCAAAGTTGTCCTTCTTGCTTAAGCTATTCCACATCAAGTGTTTAGGTGGAATAAGTGACAAAAGCATGGCTATGCTTCTTGAACTACTTAAAGATGCATTGCCTGAGGGTAACACATTGCCTGACTCATATTATGATGCTCAAAAAATTATAAAGACTTTATCTCTCGAGTCCAAAAGAATTGATGCATGCCCAAATGATTGTATGTTATTTTGGAAGGAGCATGCGAATGCGGATGAATGTGTTCACTGTAATTCTTGTAGATGGAAAAAAAAGGAACAAAGCGATGCATCTGGTACCTTAAATTCTATGGTTAGAAAGATCCCATGCAAAACGATGCGTTATTTTCCATTGATTCCCAGACTACAAAGAATTTACATGTCATCTAAAACAGCTTCAAGTATGAGATGGCATCACGATGAACGTGAGGATGATGGGGCAATGAGACATCCGGCAGATTCTAAAGCGTGGAAAACGTTTGATGAGCTATATCCTTCATTTTCCTCTGATCCTAGAAATGTTCGCCTTGGTTTAGCAGGTGATGGATTTAGCCCTTTTAGAAACGGACATGTAACACACAGTACATGGCCTGTGATTCTTATCCCTTATAACTTACCTCCATGGCTTTGCATGAAACAACATTCTTTAATTCTCTCCACACTTGTTCCCGGTCCTAAGGGGCCAAAGGATAAAGTGGATGTATATTTGCAACCTTTAATAGAGGAATTGAAGTTTCTTTGGGAAGTTGGGGTGGAAACTTATGATGCCTCAAAGAAAAAGAATTTTAGAATGTTTGCTTCTTTGCTATGGACAATAAGTGACTTTCCGGCATATGGTGATCTTTCTGGATGGAGAACTGCTGGAGCTTGTGCTTGTCCTTCATGTAACAGCAATACTTGTTCTTACAGATTGAGAAAAGGATCTAAACACTGTTACATGGGCCATCGCAGATTTTTACCGAGTCGCCACAAATGGAGATATGATCGAACAAACTTTGATGGCAAGGAAGAGCTGAGGACTCCACCTAATGTTTTGTCAGGTAATGAAGTTGTAGACCAGTTAGTTAGTGCTGAAGGAGTAACGGCAGGCGCATCTATGAGTACTAGCAAGAAGAGAAAGCGAAAACCATTGTGGCGAAAAAAGAGCATTTTCTTTGAATTGCCATATTGGAGTACTCTTTTGATACGTCATAATCTCGACGTTATGCACATTGAAAAAAATGTGTGTGAAACTTTGCTCGGAACATTGCTTGATATTGAAGGCAAAAGTAAGGATAATTTGAATGCACGTCTTGATTTGGAGATAATGAATATAAGAAAGTCGTTGCACTTGAAAAGGCATGAAAATGGAACTGTAGAGATGCCCCCAGCTCCTCATACTCTATCCTCAGAACAAAAACGAGATTTTTGCAAGTTTCTGACAAGTGTGAAGTTTCCCGATGGTTATGCCTCAAACATTTCACAAAATGCTTTACTAAAGGATCGCAAATTATCTGGATTGAAGAGCCATGATTACCATGTTATCATGAAGCACTTGTTACCTCTTGCAGTGCGTGGTTGGCCCGAAGCTCTTTCTAAGCCACTTATCCAGTTGAGCACCTTTTTCACAGAGTTGTGCTCTAAGACATTAAAAGTTGATAAGTTGCAAGAACTACAAGAGCAGATAGTCATTACCTTGTGTGAGCTAGAACAAATTTTTCCACCCTCTTTTTTCGTTATTATGGTACACTTACCCATCCACCTAGCAAGTGAAGCGTTGATTGCCGGAGTGGTTTATTATCGTTGGATGTACCCCGTTGAGAGGTAATAAAAAGTTCAATCAATTGGTGTTTTTAATTAATCAATAAAAATAATTGACAAATATGTTAACAATTTTTGTAGGTATCTGTGTAAACTTAAAGGGTATGTACGCAATAAAGGTCACCCTGAGGGCTCAATATCGGAAGGATATTTATTAGAGGAGTGCTTAACGTTTTGTTCAAGATATATGGAGGATATTGAAACACAATTCACCAAGCAAGATAGGATTAGAGATGGTGGTGATTTGCGTTCAACACATCATTTGCCTATTTTTGTGACAAGAGGCAGACCACTGGGGAAGGCAACTCCCAAACTACTTTCTACAAATGAACTGGAAGAAATTCATTTTTTTGTGTTGAACAACTGTGGAGAAGCACAACCTATAATCGAGTGAGATTCTATGGTTATGTTTCTAATTTCGTCTTAGATCATTATTGATTTATTAATTATAGTGAAGTATTTATTGCAGTGAATATGATTGGGAAGGTACAAATAGAACAAGAATCACTGCCGTTCGAAAAAGAAAGTGTATTGAGTGGTTTAGGGACCGAGTAAGGATCTATACAAAACCTATTGTGTTTGGTTTCTCTTTGTAATCAATATTAGGCTATAAAACTAATATAATTTATGTATGAATAGGTGACAAAATTGTTCCGAGAGAAACATCCTAGTGTTACAAAACATTTACTGGATTTAGCACATGGTCCAAATCGTGCAGTCGTTTCGGTCAATGGATACATGGTTAATGGTAGCATGTTTCGAACACTGGATTTTGATAGGGGGGGGGGGGGGAAACACAAAACAGCGGGGTCGTTGTGAAGGGTGAAAACGGAGCGTCAGTTCTCCCATATTATGGAGTCTTGCGAGAAATTGTAGAAGTACAATATATTGGACAAAATCGTGTCACACTTTTCAAATGTGACTGGTGGGATGTTCATAGTCATGGTCGGGGGTTCTTTACTGACCGTTATGGATTCACTAGTGTCAACACAACCAAAGTTTTGACTAGCGATCCCTATGTTTTAGCTTCTCAAGCACAACAAGTATTCTATGTTGATGATGTTCTAAAGCCTAACTGGAAGGTGGTGGTTACAGCAACACCAAGAAACTTTTATGATGTTCCTGAGCAGCAAAGCGTTCTTGACGGAAAGGATGATACATATCCATAACCATCTTTGTCGTTTTGTCAAAAATATTAAGACATCTAGTTGTGTTTTGACATAAACCTTTTGTAGTTTTTTTCAATTTATTTTGGTTCATGCTCTACTTTGTTTCACTCGCTTTTATATATCAATTCCTTCATGTTTATTCATTTAATAGTAATCTTTATGGACCTTTCTAGAAAGAATTCGTATTATTTGATTCTTTGTAAATGTGATTATTTGGTTATGGCTAAATTTATTTTGGATTAGATTTAACATGTCAAAAAAGGGAGGAAAGACATGTCCAAAACGTGTTGAAGTACCACATAGTGAGTACGAACAACAAAGAATAAGGACGATTGAAGCGAACAATATGAAATTTAAGTCGTTGGGAATAAAGCGCATTGTTGCTTCAATGACAAACTTGGTAGACAGTGGCAAGGATAAGAAAAGAAAACACAAATACAGAGGCAGTGAGGATGGTGATGATTATGTGCCTGATGATAATGATAGTGTGGAAGACTCTGAGAGCGAAGGTCATATTTCAGTTACAAAAAAGGTAGTGTTAATTTTTCAACTATCGATTATGGGTCTGATGATTAGCTTTTACATCTTTTAAATATTGATTAGTATGCCATTATTCGCAGTATATTTATCACTTTCTATTTGTTTGATGCCGTTTCAGAGAAAAAACAAGCACCAAAAAGGGGCTGGAAGACAACGTAACTTCATTCCACCATCGTCTGTTACCAAGTTATATGGAATGAACAGAAAACAATCAACATTAGTTGGAAATGTAGCACTAAAATCTCTATCAACTGCCATGAAAGCTTCTCAACGAGGTTATATTATTTATTTATTCATATAATGAATTTATATATATATATATATATATATATATATATATATATATATATATATATTATTGAGATACAGGTAAGTTAAAAATTAGATTTAACAATCCAGCCAACAGTAGTCAACCACAAATGGAGGTTGGTCATGAAGATATTGATTTCGGAGAAGGTACACAAGTAATTTTTAGCATATTTTACATTTTACCTATAATCAAAATTAGGTTTTTTATATTTTAAAATTGCAATGCAGATATCTACGGTTTAGAGAATGACGAGCACTATAGTGGAAATGGTGAAGATTTTGAAATGGATAGAGGTATATGATGTGTACATTATTTACAGGGTACTGTTTATGTGGACATTATTGTGACTTTTTATCCTTTTTGCTTAGACGATCAAGAAGATGATGTGCTCTTAAAAATGACTACAAGCTATAACAATGAGGCAAATGCTAATGTGGAAGGAGACAATGTTCTGGGTACAAATTATTTTCATATAATTGTCTTGTCTAGTCTGTAACACCGTCCCCAAACGTATTTACTTTTAAGTGAATAATATTGTATGTAACCTTGTGGAATGGTTAATGAGTTTACAATGTTATGGATTTTTATTAATTATTTTGCGTGAATAGTAAATTCGCACGTGGGGCCCGCACCGGGAGCGGGGGCCGCCCAATATTCTCGGGACTACATAAACTATCCATCTCGGTCTAGATAATATTTATATGGTGGAGGATAACTCATTTGAGCCATGGAAAGGTCCGGAGTTGACCGATTGGTCAAAGAGGCCTAAATACCGGTATTGGCAATTTAACCGATAAAAGCCCGAAATTGAATTTCGGGGACTTATAAATTAAAGTTGGGGTATGAATATTCATCATAAGAGTCTTAATGATGGAGAGCACATAATATATTTTATTTGACCCGATAAAATAAAACATATTTTAAATGGTCCGAAAAATACAACTTTCGGGACAAAGTGTACACTTCTGGACAAAAAGGGTTGACCTCCCACATGGGTGGGGGCCAACCCACGAAATTGGACACACATTTCAAGGCCTTGGCCGGCTGGAGGAGTGTGGAGGGGATAGGAGAGGAGTGTGAAGTGAGGGGAAAGGCATCAAACAAATAAGGTGGGCCTCTCCCACACTCCACTCATACTATTGAGACAAAAAGGCTCACCCACCCCTTGTCCCTTGATCATTTCGGCCAAACACCCATCCAGCAAGAGGAAGGAGCTCTCAAAAACCTCTCACCATTGTTGAAGGAAGTTCCAACAAGGAGGAAGCTCCAGGAAAAAAGTTTAAGGTCTAAAGTGTACAAAACTTGAGAAAAAGCTAGGTAATGACTTCATCTACTCTTCTCTTCTCTTTTTCTTGAATATATTGTTATTTGAGAAATTTGGAAAAAACCCTATGATTGTTCCACATGAGTTAAGTGTAGAATGATGGGTTGGAAGGGGGTTCTAAGTCCAAAAACGGACTTAGGAGCCAAACCGACAAGTTCACCGGAAAATAACCTTTTAAGGGTTATGTGTATTGATTAAGGTTTTATGATGTTAAAACCTTGTTAGGAACTTGATTTAGAGTATCTTTGGGCTTCGCCGGAGTTTCGCCGGAGTTGGTCAAAGTTGGCCGGAGTTGGTCAAAGTTCACCGAAAATAGTCAAAGTTCAACCGCGGAGCGTAGAACACGCTTAAGCTCACTTAAGGTGAGGATGACCGACTATATTGTTTATAATTATTGGGTTAATTTCATAAGATTGCCTAAATGAATTATATGTGTTCGGCATGAGTTATTTATGATTAAGAATGCCTAAAATGGAATATAGTATTGTTCATAAAAGAAAATGCATAATATACAAATTTAAGAATAAATTGTGTATAATTATGTGTTGTGATTATAATGACCCAATTGTGGTGTAAGTTATAAAATTGTATGGTGATAAATATGCTTTTACCTCATGAAGGGAATAAAAGTGATATTTTGATATTGAATCAAGTTATACTTGAATGTGAAATTAAATTGAAATGTATGAATTATTATGAAATTGGCGTTGGCTTATTAAGACTAGACGACTAGTATTGAAGACTAGTCGGGGATGTTAGTTCAATAGTGCTTGGGAGCTAATCCCAAGATATTGAAGCTAAGTAACCTTAAAGGATAATTAGGGTGGACTTTACGAAGTCAAGTTATGTTAGGAGTAGACCTCAAGGGTTACTCAAAAGGAATGGAGCCTAGACTAAGAAGTGGTTTAGGGATTAGATGACGTGACTACGAGCCGAGCTCTAGCACGTGGTAGTATGACTATGAGCCGAGCTCTAGCAAAAATGTAGGAATGACTATGAGCCGAGCTCTAGCAAAATGTAGTGTGACTATGAGCCGAGCTCTAGCACAAAAATGTAGGAATGACTATGAGCCGAGCTCTAGCGAAATGTGGTGTGACTATGAGCCGAGCTCTAGCACAAATTAATATGACTATGAGCCGAGCTCTAGCATGAAGGAACATAAATTAATTTCAAATAGTAACATCCTAAGTTGAGGGTCTTGGAAATTGAAACTTTGATTATACTTAGTATAGTTGTCATTGTACTTGTCAAATGCTTCCAAGTACTGACCTCCCCTTCACGGGGGAGGCCACCTCACAGTTTCAGGTCGGGATTAAAGCTTGCCGCTACCCGCCCGTTGCATCGGGGAATTCAAGAGAAGAAGACGTGGTTCGTGCTTCTTCTGTTTCTGTTTTGAAAACGATTTAAACCATGCTCATGGGTATTATTTTTCTTCAATATGTATTTAGGGCTTGTATGCCCATGTTGCCAAAGGTGTGGCGTGCACATTTGTATTGAACATTTCCGCTGCTTTGAATGAATATTTTACATTATGTTTGTTTATGGATGTACTATGTGTGAATGATATCCCAGACGCCTTGTATAGTATGAATGTGTTGGACTGCGGTTGACTATTCGTACTGTACGGCGGATTGTTGACGTGTCCGGATAGGCCCGGGGCGTGACATAGTCTCCCGCATCACTCATATATTCACACTAGTTAGCTAGCAACAAAGCTTCGTGCATCTTCACAATGTTAAAATGGATTAGTACACATGGGGATAATAATTACAGAGCATAATGAATATAATGGCCGTTTTTTATCCACACATATGGAGTTGGGATTGACATATTGAATTGCAGTGTCCATTTAAATATTTATTACACTAAGCTTTATGTATCATATTAACATGATACTTGAAACATTAAAGGAAAGTATCATATACTATTATAAGTTGAGCTAATATTGCTGTTTTCTTTTGAAGCTGCGAATATCAAGAAGAAGAAAGTTTACAAGTCAAATACTCCTAGAGGTCCCACGAGAAATCTACAATTGGCAAAACTGAGACCCGGTGAGAGGAAGAAAGTAGACTTTAACATAAAGGGAGAACCCATTGGTGTTAATAGAGCTAGTCTAGCGAACTATTGTGGTGCCATTGTTAGAGATACTCTCAATGCACCACTTTATCAGATTGAAGAGTTTTCACAAATACCCGAAGAGAAAAAGGATAAGATGTGGCGGCTTATTTTGGTATTGATAATTTTAATCTATGTAAATAGTACATTGGTTTTATTTAGGTTATTAAATTTTGCTAAGAGCTCTTGAATTTTGCAAGGAAAAATTTGATATTGGGCTTGATGATGTTGAAGATGAAGAGCAATATGAAAAGCTAAGTGAAAAGAGAAAAAAGACTTTGATGAAATCTTTGAAAAAGAAGTACAAAAGTTATAGAGGAAGACTGAAAAGTAATTATTACGATACTGAAGACACAGATGTGGAACGGTTAAAAGATGAAAATAAACCACCATGTGTTAACAAAAAAGAATGGAAGTGGCTTGTGGAGTATTTTGGATCTCCAAAGTTTCAGGTAAAATTATTTATTTATTTATGTACATGGTTGGCTTTTGCGTGCACATTAGGGCTTGGTAGCATTCCTTGTTAAATCTGTAACAAATCGTTAAGAAAATCTGATATTTTAATTGTGTTGGCTTAATAGAATTGTGTTTATTGGCTTAAAATCTGATATTACAGGACTAGATATTCCAAGTTTCCGTATGAGGTTGATACCTGATACTTTTTCAAGATTTGCACATACTTTTTCAGTTTTGCCTTAGCTGCCATCTTTTTTAATTTTTTACTTCCATATGTTTGCTTTGATATAACAGGAGATGAGTAAACGAAATAGTAAGAACCGCTCATGCCAAACTGCTGGACACACCGCTGGCACAAAGAGTTTTGCTCAAGTTATTCATGAAGTGGTACTAGTTTATGTCCTACGAGACATTCCATTTATATTTTGAACTATTTAACGGCTAATTATTAAAGTTTTTGCATACTAGTGTGAAAAAGAGCAAGTCATGCCGAACATATTGGAAGCATACGAGATAACCCATACCAAAATTGATAAGACGCCAGTGAATGATGTTGTGAAGCAAAATATTGTAAGTACTATAACTATATGCAATTTTTTTATTGATTTTTAATTTGAGCTCTTGTATATGATAGGTGTAAGATATTGAGAAGTCTTATATAACGTTAACGACTTTGTACTTCGAGTTTGTTATTTTGTACTCCTGTATGTACTTTCTGATGTATATTGTAATTAGCAATGCATATCAAAGTATCACATATAGTCAGCTCTTAATGTATCACAAAATTTGACTACATACCATATACCAAAGTATCACAGATATATAATATACGAGCTGACTATCTGTTATACTTTGGTATGTAGTCAAATTCTAAACAATTCATTGCTTTGTACTCCAATTAAACTGGTTTATACTTCTTATATGCCTGACATTTTTTTAATTCCATTTGCTCATCTTGAAGGGGCGTTTATCTTTGTTGTCAAAATTAACAATGTCAAGTTGTTACACAAGTCAAGGCCTAATTGCGCTACCCTGAACATTATCAAATTAAACTCACTACTTCAAGGCATATAATTAAAGATAAAGTTGTCTTAAAAGATTAGCTTAATAATATACAAATACTAAGGCCTCTATCTGTTTATCATCATTCTCCTCTCAAATTGCATCTGCCAGTCTCATCCGTATAGAATCTGGGGATTGTGTTAACATTTGTTAACACAAACAAGGAGATCACTGGTTAAGGACATCTTTTCATAAATCCACTCTGGTGCTAGGACATACAGTAAACTGAGTTGCTCTTTAGCTTCTCTGTTATCGATAATGTCTATGTAGTTCGCAAGTATTTTGTGCATAAGCTCTTCTTTTGTGATAATTGAGCGTTTGAGCGTTTGATGGACTAGAATAGGAAATAAATTGTGTCAAACATTTTTGGTAGGCCTGCAATCATTTGCTTTCTCCACTATGCCTGGCATATAATTTCAGATGTTATTTTTTAAAATATCAGTTTATATTAGTTTTATGTATTATAGCTTTACAATATGTTTTGATTTTTTATGCTAGTTTTATGTACTACAATATATTAGTTGTACAAATCAGACTATTTTGAAATATGATATTTGAATCACACTGACCTGACTGCTTTATTTTTGCTTCTTAATTACTGTTCTGTAAAACTGATATCACTTTGCTACAAACTTTGTCACTACTTTCAATTTGTTATTTTGTAGTGTAGTAATTGTGTTAATACTCATGTTTAAACGTTTTTACAGTAAAAAATGAAGGAGCTTTTAGAGCAACGTGCAGCAGGGAAAAATAATTTGACGAATGAAGAAATTTATGAAAAAGTTAAACCCAAAGGAAAATGCCAACGTGATCGTCGAATGGGAGTAAGTCCTTCCATTACATCAATGTATGGGTCATTCAGTGAAGGAGAACAATTGCGTAAAGAAGTAGAAGAGGCCAAGAAAGAAGCCAATGAGGCTAAGAAAGAAGCATTTGAGGCCAATGAGAAAAATAAAGTGCTCACCAAAGAAGTGAAGCGTTTCAAAAGCGAGATGAAAAATATGAAAGGTTGTATGGAGAAATTTTTGAACATCATGGGTTATGATATCTCAGATTTAATAACGAATGAGGTATGCCATCATATTAATTTCTTTAATCTTTATTAAGAAGTATTTTGAGTTTTTATGAAATACGGAGTATTTATTTACTATTTTTTATGTTCCAGGTTGACGAGGAGAGTGACGAAGTGTCTTCGGATGGAGAAGATCAATGAATTATTTGAAATGATTTTGTCTTTATCTTGTAGTTATATTTGACTTCAACTTTTGATTAGTAGGCAATACATTTCTTTACCTATGTATTAATATATTAAATATTATTGACTTATTATAATTTTTTGAAGTTAGTTATTTACTTATTTGTAATAGTTGGATGACTAAACCTTGCTTTGTATTTATGCTGCATCATAATGCAGTTTTTGCTTTGTTTTTATAGTTTGTGTTATTGATTTTAAGTAGTCATGCAACAATATGTTTAAATTAATCGAGACAATATAATATGATTGTTGTTGAATACATCCTTTTGTAATCACTTAAAATCATATAATAAAAAAATGTGTTTGAATATGCATTGCTATATGACGCTGCCTCAAATGATCTAATATTTAGAGTCACCATAATATAATTATTTCTAATTATATTTTGAGACATCATATTTTGGGTTGTCACTAATGATGTTTAAGGAAAAGATAAAAGGTTTGCTTCAAATAATGTTTTGGGACAATATATTATGATTGCCTCAAATACTGTTTTGGAACAAGGTGACATGATTGCCTCAAATGGTGTTTAGAGACAAGGTGACTTGGTTGTCTCAAATGATATTTTGGGACACAATCATATGGTTGCCTCTAAATGCATATCATTAGAGTCAAATATTTTGTTGCCTCTAAAGTTAGCTTTAGAGGCAACCATCATTTAGGGACGGATTAATTAGGGACACCTTAGAGGCAACCAATACATTGCCTCAAAAAGTAATTAGAGGCAACATCTTCATATATAGGGACCATTATGGCTTGCCTCTACAAACCATTTTTTGTGTAGTGTAAGGAAACATTCCTTGTGAGAAGATATGCACGAAAATCCTTTTTGAATTTTGAATAACAACAATTATTTTGGAAACTTGCTTTGTAGAAATATCTCTTAATTAATGCCTTTGATTTAAATAACTTTCCTTTAAAGAAAAAATCCTTTCTTTGTATGATCATTGATTATTTTCTTGCTTAAAAGGTTCTCTTTAATTTAGCAAGATAGATCCGAAATTAAATGGAGAGAAAAGATATTTTAAGCAAGCCGGATTAATCAATCTTGGATTTACGGTGCAGTTCTCGGACCAGTTCTACGGCTTGTTCCAGAGCACGACTTAAACTCTTTTCATGTAGTCACTTACAACCAAAAGTAACACTAGTCGTTTGTCATCAACAAAACAATACGTTCCAACAAGGGGTTTAAACCTGTTTGCCAAAATCTTTATGTTAGGTCTCCTAGATTTTGATGATTAAAATGTAATAGTTTTGATGTTGCTACCCCTTTTTGTATTATCATGTATTAGACTAGTCCCTTGTTTTTGTTCTACTTTGTTTATTGTAATGTGCTCCAAAATTAGTGATAAAGTACTCATAAAAAGTAAAGAGTATTAAAAAGAGAAGAAATGTACCATAAAAAAAAAGAATTAACAAGAAAAGGTACGCAAAAGAGTTAACTGATATTCATTGAAAAAGGAAGCTAGCTGAAAACCTCAGATTTTGGCAGCCAGCTGATTTCTTGGCAGCCAGCTGAAATTCTGGGTTTCCAGTTAAGTCATCCGAAATCCAACTCTCTATTCTCTTAGCACAAAAACAATTAAACAAAAGACCAACTTGCAGTCAAAATAACAATTTGATGAAAAGTAAATTTATAAGGGATTTTAATCACATTATAAATTTCTTATAAATTTATTTTACTTAAAGCAAGTGTTCGTTATTTTGTAAGGAAGCATGGAAATATCACTTGGCTTTTATACTACATTTTTACGCATAAATGAAAGAGGATAATTCATCTTTAATCTTACATTGAAATGTGGAAACAAGTTGAGTTGAAGATCATTGATCTGTGTCACTACGTAACAAAGACCAATCATGCTGCCTCGGTTGATATGCACTAATTAGTAGTGCATAAGTGTATGTTTTTATGTTTTATTTGTGTGTATTGTTTATCGTTTTATTTAGTTTATAAACATTTTTGTGATTTAGTAGTAATTGTATTTTAATCTTCATTTGTAAGTTGGAAAGTAGAATTAGGAATTATGGTGTTGGAAAGGGAGACTTTGAAGTGAAGAAAAAGGAGATTGGACTGTCCATGAGCTGAAACCCGACCGGGTATAACACTTTACCCGGTAGGGTAAGATTTAATAAACGAAGAAGCTTAAGAAATTTCCAGACCCGGTCGGGTCCCCTATCCCACCCGGTCGGGTCTGACTTGACCCGGGACATTTTAACGTGTTGAAACACAAGAACGTGGAAGATTATCTGATTTTGACATGCACCCGGTCGAGTACCCGGCCCAAGGTGTTGAAAAACACCTATAAATAGCACACTTTTCCTTCACAAATAATCATTCCTTTTTCCATACTCTTAAACTCAGTTTAGAATAGTATTTCTGATGGAGTATATGGCCCGGGAACCCCCGGCCCACAGACTCCTACTAATCTATCACAAGCCCAACAAACCCAAGGAGCTCAGGAGGCCCAAGATTCGGCGGCCCAAGTGTCAAGAAGCCCACAGTACACACAGGGGTGCCTTCGGCCTCCTTGGCCGAAGGCTCCAAAACTCACAGAACCGCCATGTTCGACCATGCGAAGCTATTGGGAGAAAACGGCAGAAAAAAGGAGCCCTCGGCACCAGGGGAATCCCTCGGCTGAACCAAACCTTCGGCCACACGAAGCCCTCGGCTACGCGAGGAGCCTTCGGCCATACATGAAGCCCTCGGCTAAACGGACTCAATCATCGAAGATTCCCTTTGGAGACAGCCAACCACCGCATTTAATGCGACGTCACATCCACCCACCGCATTTAATGCGGGGAACGTGCGATGGCCGGTGCCACCCCGATTGATGTGACCCCTCGGCCGTTGGATTACTGACACGTGTACTCTCATCGCATTTATTGCTGCTATAAATAGCAGCCCATTTCTCCTTGTAAAGGATCCGAACTACACACGCTGAGTTCATTTAATAAAATCGACTCTCTCTCCTCCTATTTTGCTCTGACTTCTCTCTAGTTGTTCCCGCAATAACCCCTCGGATAGGATACCCCCCGGGTAGACCGTCCATCAATTTCTTTTATATTTTTATAGCATGTTTAATTCCTATTCATATTCATATTTATATTTTGAACATTACTTAAAGGATCAACTAGTTTTGTTTCATATATTAATTATTACTAGAATCGATCGACGAATACGCTTGTTAATCGTTGATGGTTTCACAAGCAAGTAACTTCGGTTTATTAAGGCACGGTCGTGGTTAATAAACTTAAGAGGGATTAATTTTGTTGGTTAAACCGAAACCGTTGTGTTGAGGTTATCAATCTCAATTGATTTCATCAAGGAGTTAAGAGATTAAATGCTATTATCAAGTCGGTATATGGCGGTGTTCTATACTTGACTAACAGTAAGGGTTATTAATGAACGGTCGTTGTTAATAACTACCATCGGTGAATTGGATATACTCCTCGATTGAGTATTCGAGAGGGGATACGTTATACATATAACAATGATCGACTGAAATATATCAACAAGTGGAAAGTAGCAATGCCAAGTCCTTTTTATGTTTGAATTAAATCTCATATAAGTCGTTCATCTGCGTATTTAATTAAATTAAATCATTCAATCCCAAAAAACCCCTTATTTACTTGTTTTACTAAAAAGAGAATTATTCCTTTCCCTGTGGATACGAACTCTACTACGCTATACTACGGTATTAGCCCTTAGTAGTGAATTTAATTTGATGCACACTACGACAAAGTGCTCATCATCAGTCAAGTGGAACAAAGCAAGTAGATAAAGCGACGGTCAAGATTGATTTCCCCAACCAACGGTGGAGATTGATTGATCAAGTCTATAAATACAGAAGGAGTGCGGGAATATCAAGTGTGGTAAAACGAGAGGAGCGAAGTGGAATAGAAGGAAATCAAAATCTACATGCTCAAATCCAGCCAACTGATTTTCCTTCTGCACTTTGGATACCATCCCACTCGTCTAATGCTCTTAGACTAGCTACAATTCATACAAATCTATAGAGTTTAGATTAGTTGGTAGTTTAGATATACACCCATGTAATCTAGACTAGTGTTAGACATTCTGGAGGGTTTTGTGTTCAAATCCAGAAGGTGAGAAAGGTCAAGGACATGAGTAGCTCTTGGCAAGTCAATGCCATTAGTGAAAAACCTTGGGAGGACTGAGTAGCTTGGAACAGTGTTTTAGTTCATTGTGAAAAACCTCACAATCTACGCCTGGACCAAGGGTAGATTGGGGCACTAAATGTAATGGGATATTCATTTAGTGGAAATCCATCTGAAATAGGTTGGGACTGGATGTAGGAGTATTACACTACTTCTGAACTAGGATATATCTTGTGTCACCTGTTACATTTTGCTCCTAACATAAATTCAGTACTCACTCACCTTCACACTTTCACAAAAAAAAAGCTTGCTCACTAAAACTGTCCAGTGAACCTTTCCAGTTCACTGTGAGTCAACTCCTTGTTATCTGATGAACAAAGTGATCTATTTTTGTAGGTCCAAATCCTTCATACTTTTGTGTTGAGACTAGTTCTAAAGCCAATCAATATGTTAGAGTATAGTTCATTGTTATACCTTAACTAACTAAACAGAAACATCATTTCGGCAGCCTGCTCCTAAAGGTTTTGGCAGTCAGCTCCAAACTATCTGGCAGTCAGCTCCTTGAGTTATCTGTTTCTTGCAAACACATTCGCATTCTGTTTAAATCATCTCTCTCACAACTAAATGGATCATAACCTTTGTTTCTATAAAGTGTCACACTCTTGAGGTCAAGACTTCTGTTGCATGTTACAATATCTCCGAAAAGATATTAGAACTCATACAGTTAGAGGAAAAAGAGTTAAAAAAGAAAAGATTTTAAAAGTCTATTCACCCCCACACTTTTACCTCACTTGGGACTCAGTTGGTATCTAGGGCACTGAAATGCACTAATTAGTAGTGCATAAATGTGTCTTTTTATGTTTGATTTGTGTGGATTGTTTACCATTTTATTTAGTTTATAAACATTTGTGTGATTTTAGTTGTAATTGTATTTTAGTTCTCATTTATAAGTTGTAAAGTAGAGTTAGGATTTATGGTGTTGGAAAGGAAGACTTTGAATGTGAAGAAAAATAATTCTTGGCTGCCCAGGACAATCACCCGGTCGGGTGAGGTATTGC